CTTTCTTTATTTTTCTGTTTTCGTATTTTCTTTTCAGTTTTGTATTTCTACCATACTTTTCTAGTTCAGTTTCTTTCTTTAGTTTTTATTTTAGTTTAAGTTTCTATAATTTTCACTGATCTAACCTTACGTTAGACCTAGTGCTTTTTATTTCTTGTCGTAATTTTTCTTTTCAATTCAAGAAGTCTCCGAGCAGATCCAACCGACTTGTGGGGGAATGCTCGTTTATTTCGAAGAACAAGATTATTTAAGCATTATTATTTCCAGGTTCTTAATATAATTATTTTATTTTATTTAAGTATTGTTGCTTGGTATTTATTTATTTGATTATGGGAATGTTTAAATATATTGAACCTTATTATTTATGCATGTCCGAATTAATAAATATGCCCGGCTAAATCGTTTAGGTATCGGTAAGTAATAGTAGTAAGAGTAGGAATTAAATTGTTCATAAGTTAAAATACTAATTAACTTAATTTCTGGTTATGACTTTTTATAATTAAAACTACGCTTTTTGTTACGAAAGTAAGGAAAGTAAATAGGTTAGATCGAGACCACGAAAGTGTGAGGTTTTTAACCGGATAGCTAAAGTTAGGCATTTGATTTAAATACAGTGAAAGCGCTTTAAACCAAATTAGAATTAATTAAGTTTCCAAAAAATACTTCTAAACACTTATAGGCTAGCGAAAGCAGGTATAGGGCTTTAGACGTATAATCAGAGATAAGACCATGAAAGTGTGAGTTGAGGGTTTTTAAACTAATAAATTCTACAGAACAATTAAGTTAACCATCTTTATACGCTTAAGTTCAATTTAAGCCGCTTAGGTTCACTACTTTACGTACCGATATCCATTTTATTTATATTTATATTCCTTAACCAATATTCTAAAAGAACTATTCGCCTTAGCTGTGTACCGTAACTTAGGATAACAGTAGATCGATTTATAGTCTCTGTGGGTTCGATATCTTTTAAAACTACGCGATAGGATTGTGCACTTGCAGTCTCCCGATTAACAGACGATAAAGTCTTGCGATCAAGTTTTTGCGATCAAAACACATCTTGGATTGAATTGGTTGAGATATGATCAACCAATGGTGTGCTTCTTGAGTCAATTTATTTATGATTCAAGATAGTAGAAGTGCAGAGGCTGAGCTTGAGCATCCAGGCGAAATCTTTTATCTCGGCCAGTTGTTTTTATATATGAAGGTCAAAGGTCATATGTGAAGATTTTTCACTCTAACATCTGGAAGATCCTTCTTATCAAAGGAGGCAGATTTATGGAATCTTATTTGTGACCAAGAAATGGGTTCTGTCTATATTAAGAGAATTGTGTGAGTGCGCACTAACCACATGTTATAATGCTATTATGGAGGTAATCGTGTGATTATCAAGGTGATCATAGCAGTTGTTGAAGAAGAATCCCTAATATGGAGTTGGAGATTCTTGAGATGTCATATATAATGTCCTGACATATTTGTGTTGAGAATTCATTTTTCTCAACTTGGTTTGACTGGTGTTTTCCTCATACAGGATAGAGGTTGTTTACTCAAACTTGGTATCTTTTATCAAGTCTATGAGAACATTGAACTCTTGCTCTGCTAAAGTGGAAGAGGCACTCTTGGGGTTGTGTGCAATGAAGATGCATCAACCTGAGGTAAGTTAATATTCTGGAAGATTAACTTATAGTCATGATGAGCTGTCCAGAAGGATTGTGAGAAGCAGAAGTTTTCTTTTCTAGACAGTATGTTTGAAGAACTAATGATCATACAAAACCATGTGTGTTATGGTCTGCATGATAGAGGGAATTTGTTTTGATGTACAAGGATGGTGTTTAACATCTCAAAGGAAGGCATGAGGTCTGGAAAATATGCTTATGAAGAAACCTCATAGGGTGTGGTGTCAACTGCTAATTTTTTATCTGCATATAAGGTCAGCTGCTGAAGTATGGATCTCTTGTATTCTCCCTCAAGAGTGTTTGTATGGATTTACTATGGGTGTTATCTCCATAACCACAGTAATTGGTGTACTCTATATGATTGCGATTGATGTCTTATCTGGTGTCAGAACATCATCTCAGGTGGGTCTGTTGCTTCAGAAGAAAGCTATACTGAAGATCATGGGGTGAGCATTGTTGACCACTAAGAATTCCAAAATTAGAATGTTTAACCATGATGGAGTGTGAAGTCCAGTCTCTGATCAAGTCTGGAATATTGTGAAAAATCCTCTTGTGCTAGGAATATGAAGAAGAAAGATGTCAAAACAAATGTTCGAACATCTATTGAAGGGGAGCGTCATCTCCAGTCTGTGGGGAAGTATTTCTCTGATGAGAAATACCTTGTCAGGAGTTGGGTTTAAGTCTGATGTTGTGAAGATGTGCATGTTACTGATGATAAAGACCTTGTCAAGAGCCAGATACTTATCTGAGGTGTGGATGTAAATCTATTGTCTGAACTGTTGATTCAGATATTGTTGAGAGTTTATTTCTCTCAATAGTGTTGAGGTGGTTGTATTAACTTGAAGGAGTTGCAGAAGATGTGAACTTGAAGTGATAAATCAAGAACCAATTGATTGGATTCTGTGAAAAATGTTGATGTCCTAAATGATGTTGTAACATTATTTTTTTAGATTATGAATATGGAGGATTAATGATTTCGTAATTAACAGAAGATTAACGATGATGACCAGAGATTTTTGGAGTTTTGAATTTCGGGTTCTTAAACGAATTGGATAAAAATAGATGGTTTAATTTAATTTAAAAATGAGAATTATACATTTGAATTAATTTAATATCATGTCATAGTCCCGTTATAAATTAAAGTGTCAGCTATATAAATCTAAATAGGGACAAAAAAAAAACTCAGAAAATGTTCAATATGGGAGAATGCTGATTTTTTTTAAAGAGTATCTAAAAAATTAAAAATTGAAAAACCAAAAATATATTTAAACCTATATATTTTTGGTCTTAAATATAGTATATTTAGACTAATTTGCAACATATGCATACAGCAATTTTCAAAATCAAATGTTTCCCCGCAAAACAAACTATAGACATTATTTTGCTATTAAGATGCTTTAATGTATATTTTAAAATAAGGATTATTTTAATGTTTAATATCCTTTTCGTCTCATATCTTTTACTCGATAGTTTTTTTTTTTTTTTTGTCTCAAACCTATAATAACATTCATCTTAATCTCACAAATTTAATAATTTTGGTCATTCTATTTTACTATTGGACTCAACTTTGTCATTTCCATCCATTTTTGTTAAATATATTCATGTTTCATCCTAGTCATCGTTATGTGGCATCCAGATCAAATTCAGATGTTATAAACTTATATTCATCAACATATGCAACTTTGTGACATTAGGGCTTCAACATCTTCATCCTTGCGCTCATGTTCTCTCTAGACATCTCCATTTTATCCCAAATCTGAACATTATGGCATCACCATTTTCATCTTCTCTTATTCGGAAAAGGAAAAAGCTTTCTACAAATTCGTCTCCATAAATTCGTCTCTATTTCATTAAATGATTAATAATGCAAAATTAAATGATTAATAATGGAAAACACGCTACAAAAATTATAAATTAAAATTTTACTCTAGTTTAAAGAAGCCGTCTCCATTTCATTAAGTGATTGATAATAGAGAACACACTACAAAAATTATAAATTATAAATTTACTTTAATTTAAAGAAGCGATGGAAATCTAATTGTTGGTGTGACGGGTGTTGGTGTGACGATTTCCCGTGCTTAGACTCCATCCTAATTGTTGGTGTGGGTGTTGGTGTGACGATTTCCCGTGCTTAGACTTCATCCTAATTGTTGGTGTGACGATTTCACCGTACTTAGACTCTATCCTAATTGTTGGTGTGACGATTTCCCGTGCTTAGACTCCATCCTAATTGTTGGTGTGACGATTTCACCGTGCTTAGACTCCATCCTAACTGTGGGTGTGACGATTTCGCCGTGCTTAGAAAGGCTACAGCGGTTATTAATTTCTAATTTCGAAAAGTAATTATGAGAATGTTCCCTATATTGTAAGTAATTTGAACATGGAAGTGCGTATGAGTTTAGGTATGTGAGTCACAAATTTTTTTCTAAATTATTGCAAGGGTCTACTCAATGTGTGTAACTATTTGGACCGGTTTTATAATGAAGTGGAAGATGAGAGAGACTTTTTTTATCATGAAGCAAAAAAGAAGGTTGGAGTTTTTAACAAAATTCATTGAAGAACAAGGGGAAAAACTCATTGAGCATGAGGAAAATATTGAAGGACAAAGACACAATTCAAGCATAAGATTACTGTATTGATACTCAACTAACAAATGCCAAATCCCTGCTAGTCCTGTTTCAATGTACACCCCTTGCAAAAGCAAATATAACTCATCCTTTTCGTCCACATTTCAAACAATAAAATGGAAGTTTTGTTGCAATACATCATAATATTCCTAAACATTCGACTGAAAGTAAAAGACAGACGTAAACCTTTACCAAATGTGAAAGTGATAGAACAAAGCATTAAATGCACATCAATTCTTTATGGAGCAGCAGTGGAAGAGAAAGCATTTTTTCACTTGTATGATAAGGTCATCTTTTTCAGGTATTTAAGTTTCTTTAGGTATCTTGCACATGTAGACCCACTAGAATCAATCTTAATCAAATAATGTAAAGACGATGAGGGATGAGGAGAGACAAAAAGGAAAAACAAAAGTTATGCAGTCTTAATTCAAACTGGTCAACAAATTCAATTATTATCTAATTCACCTTGCAAAAATATGGTTATTGTTCAAAGGAAAAAAAAAGGTACTGAAATACATAATCAATAAGGTTAGCTTTTCAAGTCTATTGCTTTGGCAAGGGAACTGGCATTTGTTTCGAATTACAGTGGGATAACCACCAATCGGCTAGTATTTGTCGCTTCACAAGAATTACAATAAGCATTAGGACTTAAAAAGTTCTGCTAGATCATGAATCCAAACGAGTTACAACTTACAAGTCATCTATTTGATTGCAAACCTTTACCACCATAATACTGCTTTGTAGTTTCGCGTGAGAACTCGGCAAATGTCATCCCATCCTTTAACCGTGATGAAAGTGGGGGAACTATTTTTTGAATTTCCAGACTCAGTTTGTTATTATCCTGCCCAGATTGTTGTTCATCATCAAACTCATCCAATCCTATACACTGACCAACAACCCCATCGAAAGCCGATTTTCCAATAGGATAATCCGAGATAGAGAAAGTTTTAGTCCATGCAGGCTGCAGAAACACAACAAAAGTTTCTCTGCTCAAATTTTCAAACTTCAAAGGTCTATAAACAGAATGAAGGGTCGATCGAAGTTTCCCTTTCGAGATTATATCAGCCGATTCCCCAACCTGAACAATAAAACTTTCAGGAGGAGCCCTAACCATAACGACCTTTTTCTTATTCGGATCATATATCTGTAAATTAGTATGCCCAGTTGGCGATGGACATTCAACCCAACTACGCGAATCCTGTGTTGTACTCAACTCCGAATAAGTCGGAGAAAGAAAAAGCGGCGCCGTTAGAACAGTAAATATACCATAATCATAATGCCACTGTTGCCACAAATCAGAATGAACTGCATCATCACAAGCAACAGAATCCAAACATGACCCTTCCAATGACTTGATATTATTCTTAATCTTAACCCCTTTTTTGTTATTCGTCTTGCTCTTATCGAATTCTTGAAGGAGTATCGAGTCCAAATGAGAATGATAATGAATGAGACGACCCTTTGCAGCGAGCGATTCCAACAAACTTTGCTCCAATTCATTTCCACCAATTGCCTTATCACAGATTCTAGCGAGACGAAGTCCAACCTCCATCATGCAAAATCCCAATTCTCGAAAAACACTTCCTAGACTCTCGAATCCATTACCATAAAATCGAGCTTCATCTATCTCATTCTCTTCGGAATCTGCTTTTGAATAATTCAGTTGCATAGCGAAGGAAGACACACTCCTATGAGGATTTTTCAAAGAAACGTCACTACCTAAGTTATGCTCCTAGAAAATGCAAAGCTGAATCAACTATGATAAAACCCTAAAAATAATAAACCCTAGTTTCATGTTAATGGAATAGATACTAATGAGGATGGAATGATTGATTACCTTGAGGATGCGATTACGGGTTTGGCGATCGAGAAGAGAGAGGTTTCGAGCGAGTGGGAGAAGGTAGGAGCGGAGGTTGGATGCGTAGGGGATGCCGGTGACGGCGAGGAGGCCGGGACCGTTGGATCCGAGTGCTTCCATTATAGAATCTACTTTGGTTGAAGATGATGATGATAAGTCGGAATAGTGAAGTTCGTATAAATCTATTACCTCGCATTCTTCCATCTTCGTCTCCATTTTTCCAGTTGCAGATATCAGAAAGAAGAAAACCTTCTCCTCTTTTTTTTTTTTGTGTGTCTAACACAAAATACTGTTTCTCCCCATGAGCACGACGAGCATTGTTATGGGCCTGGGCTGCAATGTAAATTTGGTTTATAAGAGGTTTCTTCTTGCCAACCCATAATTTCGAGTATCTCTTAACTGGATTTCTTTTTCAATCTTATAGGTTTCTACCGTATCACGCGAAACTTTTAAATTTCTTTTTAAAATTGGAAAAAATTTCTTTTTAAAATTGGAAATTTATTTTTGATACGCACATTGTCCATACATATATGGTACATAAAATTTGAGTACATATCCAAAATTCACCTCTGATTGTAATCGTAAATATATTTCTGGTTGCACCCCAAACATACACAATGGTCTGGCCTTGGAATCTAAGGTCCAGTAAAGATATGAACCGAAATTGAATTTACGGTGGCAACTGGAAGTTTATTTTCAGTTTGCATTCTGACTTAAAGGCGCATTGTCTTTTCCCCTCCTTTTATAGTAGCATTTTCAAACACAAACACACACACACATACATACACACAAAACACCCATTTCCTCTCAAACCCCATTGTTACAAAATCAAAATACTTCACAAAAAAATTGTCAAGAATCGTAAAGCATCAGTTAACTTAACTGTTCAACCACATTCAATCAAGAGTCATTATCAATTGTAAGTTATTTTTGAGCTTTTTAGAGTTTATGTAATTTCTACTCAAATTTGTGAGTTTTTTTGTGTGTTTTCAATATTAAGAGTCATTAGAAAAGTGTTGCAAGTCTCATTTTTATGATCAATGACCATTTTTTAGAGGTCATTTGTGGCTCTGCTTCGCCATTGACGGAGCTCTAAAATTTCAGGTCATATCGGAAATGTATTTTCGGTTTTCATTTTAACATTGAAGAAAATCGGTAATGCATTTCCGATTTTAGTCTGTTTCTATTTTTCCCTTCATTTTGAATATTAGTCCTTATGTTAATGTTTGTTTTGTAATTCTACATGAGTAATGGCTGAGAGACCATCTAGGTTGAGGTATAGCAGGCTTGCACAACATGCTTATGTGCGGAGGGAAAAGAGTTAGGCATCTCAGGCTCCTTCTGCATCTAGACAGGCTATACCGAATGCACCTACTACAACCTCAACCTCCAGTGTTCTTGTTTCTACTTCGACTTTATTGTCCTCTCACAGTAGGCGGAATTCTCCAGTTCATCCCTCCCCACCTCCGTCCTCCCGTAGACGCACTTCCTCATTGATGGTATTTGAGGCGGGAGAGACATATGGTTCCCAACCGACACCAAAGGTCACACAACCTGTATCGCATCCTCAGTCACGGACGATGCCTAAGGCGACACCCAGACATCTAAGGAACCTAAGGCAACACCCCAGACATCTCAGGCACATGAGTCGACACTTGAGGTGGCACCCCGGACATCTTAGGAACCTGAGCCGACACTTGCGGTACCTCAGGGTTTTGGATCCTATAACATTTCCCCTGCATCTCGGGTGGGTCACTTGCTATAGATTATACTAAATATAAGTCATGTGCCACTGTATATGACCCGCTCCAAGGGAACCAGGCGATAGAGTCGTTCTGGAGTATATTGAACGACTGGTGTTTGAGGACATACATTTCCATTCATATGTCGACCATCGTGTCATGATACCATTTGACGATGTTGCGCTGTTTATGGGATGGTTGGTTTGTGGGTCGCACAAGACGGCTTCTTATATGCCTGAGTGCGTCATGCATCAGTTCAGGTCCACCCACTACATTCCCTGAGATCCTACTATATCTGTTTCTCCGATGGTGTAACGCAGGGATATGGATGCCTTGTTTGATGATTATGAGAATCATCTTGTTCCAAATGAGGCCTGGAGTACCTTTGCTCCAAATGACTAGAGCTACGTGGACGGTTATATCATATGGTTCTTCAAGGTGTCCCATCCATTCTTGGTACATGATGCTCCAGAAAACCCACCGAGACCAGCTCATCATGAGATTCTAGAGGAGGAGCAGGCTGGGGCCGATCATACCAGTGATGTGTTATCTAGGTGTCGTCCCATCATGGAGATCGCACATGTGGGTATTGGTGGAGGTTTAATTCCCGATGGATCCGATGTTAGAGGTGTGTTGGATGCCATCATGGTGGTGGTCAAGAGGCTCTCCTTTACAGGAGGCAGCGGAGGAACGCTGGGAGGGTGACAGGCCGACTGAGTCTGTCATACCTAATAGTCTTTACTATTGTATACGTACTTTGATTATTTTTTTTTTATTGTATTTTGGATAATATTTTGGGTTACTCCCTATATTAACTATGGGCACCTTTTATACTATTTACTGCTATCTATTTATATATGTTTTTGTTCTATATGTCTTTGTAGTATATGTTTTGTTGTATACGTCTTTGTATTCAATGTGAAACAACGCACAAAAATATCCACTGCCAACATAAGTGTTTCTGGTATTGTCTACACAGAAACCGGAAATACATTTCCGATTTGCTTTGCAAATGTATTTCTGGTTTCTAGTCAAGGTTTAACATAAAAAGGTGCGCACCGGAAATATATTTTCGGTTTCCAATGGCATTTTAGGAAATACATTGGATATTTCCTTACACTATATGGTGGAAAAAGAAATTCTCTCTCTTAATACACCCTTATATGGGTGAGGTAAATCTCTGAAAACCCCAAAATGTTCTTCGAAGATGCATCTCCGAACGCACCCTAAATCAATTTTCAAGGTGTTTCGGAGATGCATCTCCGAAAATACCCTAAATTAATTTTCAAGGTGTCTCAGACATGCATCTCCAAAAACACTCATGTTTACACGTTATTATTATTTTAACATTGTATTTAAACATTTAGTGGTATTTCCGGATATGCGTATCTGTTAGCTGGCTATTTCGAATAAGGAGGAAACCACTATCAAAATAATATTTCGAATAAAGTACCTAAGGAGATTAATATCAATATTGGATATTGGTAGGAGATATGGAGTCATTATGGTGAAGGATTATTCAAGTTCCAGCAGATTTCGATTTGGACTTTTTCGGTGTTCGAATTACAAAAGAGCTCCTTTATGTAAGGGTGCCAGAAATTGGAAACGGTCCAAGTAATTGGGTTATTTTGAAAGCAACGAAGAAACAAGATGCTTCGATTGGTACAGATTTCAAATTTCAAATAAAGAGCGTCATTCTAGAAGACGCGTGGAAGTCAGCAAACATAGGAGGCCTGCATGCTTCGAACGTGGCGTGATTTTAGAGTAGGGCCGTTAGGGTCGAAACACTATAAATAGGTGTTCTTATGTTAGATTTAAGGATGTTCACTTTTATGTACTAAAAGATCTCATAATACTCATACTTCCGTGAATTAAGGAAAACGAGTCAGAAGATATAATGTACGTCTTGAACATCATTACTTTTTTACAATTTCAATACAAGTCTTGTTATATTTAATTCACCTTTACAATATTTCCTTGCCCTTTAAATCTTTCGATTACAACATTTCTATCCTTAAATACTTCGATTGCCTTGCATTTCCCTTGTTTTACTTGCCTTTAAACACAGTCATTTCGTTAGTCAGTATTTTTACCCTTAAATCCTTCGATTTACTTTTACTTTATCCTTTTAGTCAAACACTTATCTTCACATTCAAGCCATTTTAGAATTATCTTTACATTCAAGCCCAAGTCTAATTCGAAGCCTTTCCTGCCTACATTCATTTAGTTTATTCCTATAGACCATTTTAGAACTCTTTCCTAAGAATCTCGTATTCGAATTTAACATACAATATAAGTCTATCAATATAATAGATATGAACATAAAAATAAGTTATGACACATGTGTTCTAGGATCAATCTAGTCGATCCTGCAAGTAACCAATAATAATTAGTAAATTGGAAGACTAGCGGTTGTTTACTAGAAATCATTGTAAACAAATTGGCACGCCCAGTGGGACAGTGTCATAACAAAAAGTTTTATCAAACATATTAGATAAGTTTTAAGGATTTTCTGAGTGTGGAGCGTGTTTCGGTACATGAACCTTCGAAGCGGCAAAATAAAGAATAACAATCCACATATACCCGGAAAACAACGTACCAAAATAATGGTTAATACAACCAACCAATATGGGGTACAAAATCCTTCACAGGGGGCTGCAACAATCGTTTCAAGTTCGATTGATGCCTCCAATGTCATTCCTGTTGGCAGTTCGAATACAATCCCAGTAAGTACATTAGACATGCCATCAAACGTGTCTTCAGTGCAAACTGCTCCACACATAGGGAATCAACAGTATTCGACCCCCCCTAGGCCTTCAGGTTTCGAATGTTTGAGACCCAGAAACCCTCAGTATGGGATGCCAACTTCGTTTATGGAAGGGTTACATAATGCATCAACTTCGTCCCCACTCCAAGGATCTGGTTCAGGAATGAACCATTTGGGTACAAATTTCCAGAACATAGGAAACTTCGCCCAATTGCCTACTCTTACAACCAATAGTCAGGCAGCCCTTAGACAACAGATGGATGATAGCAATCATGACATGGTAGGAATCTTAGCCCACGAAATGAATGCTATTTTCAATCCTCTAATCCAGAATATAAATAGAACAAACCAAGAAAATGCAGGCCAGAATAGTAGATTTCTTTGGTGCCTCTCTTGCGCCTGTAAGGCGTAGGCAAAACCCAATGGGAATTCGAAATGAAGAACCCATAATTGAAAAAATTCGACCCCCTGTACAAGTGGTCGAAGAAAGAAATATAGGGGTGAGATTAAGAGATCAGGGAATTCAGGAAGTTCAAAATGAACAACCTAGACCTATACTGATGGTGAATAGGGACCAAAATGCAGACGAAATTGTTCATAGAATTAGAAATGACAATTTAGTGGTAGAAAATAACCTCACCACCATGATTGAAAGAATAATGGCCCAGAATGGTTTAAATTCAGGATTTAGGAGGCCAAATTACACA